CAACGGATAGGTCTTAAGATGAACATGGACAAAACAAAGATCATGTTTAATGTCCATGTCACACCTATGCCGGTAGTTGTTGGGAACACTAAGCTCGAAGTTGTTGACGAGTATGTTTACCTGGGACAAATAGTCCGACTAGGTAAGTCCAACTTCGACCGAGGTCATTCGACGGATTCAACTCGGTTGGGCAGCGTTCGGGAAATTACGGCACATCTTCTCGTCAGGTATACCTCAAAACTTGAAAACGAGACTGTACACCCAGTGCGTGTTGCCAGTGATGACTGCTGCTGGCCGGATGAGGAAGCTCAAGGTCGCTCAGCGAGCTATGGAGAGGGCTATGCTCGGAGTTTCTCTGCGTAATAAACTCAGAAATGAGGATATCCGCAGTAGAACCAGAGTGACCGACATAGCCAAACGGATTAGTAAGCCGAAGTGGCAATGGGCCGGCCATATAGCTCGAAGAACCGACAACCGATGGGGAAGAAAGGTTCTCGAGTGGCAGCCTCGTACCGGCAGGTGAAGTGTAGGACTTCCCCCCACTAGATGGAGTGACGAACTGGTAAGATATGCAGGAAGTCGATGGATGCAGGTGGCTCAGGACCGTGCTTTGTGGCATTCTTTGGGGGAGCCCTATGTTCAGCAGTGGACTTGTGAAGGGCTGTAATGATGATGATGATGATGACGCTTCATAGGTTTATATCCTATCAGACGATTAAGACTAATAGGCACGATTCCGAATATAATACAGACTAGCCAGGGCATAAAGTGCCACATAAGTACCACTTGCCAAACCATCTATGGCCACTATCAGAAACATAACACCAGACGCAAAGACCGTGGGTTTTGAACCAAAAATGAACTGTTGGGTTGGGCACTTAGATCTAACCATTGTTACTATACACATTTGCATTTTTTTTAATGTTACATCTACACACATAGAGTTTTACATAGATACATAATATATTGGGACAAGGATAAATACTATGAACGTGGTAGAACCGTGGTGGATTTGTATTACGATTGTAGCACGAATGGTCGGCTCGAGAGGGGAAGGACTGCGCTTTCGCAGAATACCAGTGTAAAATAGCAGCTGAATGCTGCATTATACTGTATTTCATACGATGAGTGCAGAGAACTGGTGACCCTTTTTACTGTCAACGAGGCAAATTAAGTCTTTAGAGATTTTCGCCTTCTGAAGTCTTAAGATAGAATTCCCACATCTGCATTTTGATTCTTATTTGAGGATAGATGTATTTCGAATATATGTGGTGGGCTTTCTTAACCCTTGGCATAGCGAAAAGTCATATATATCATGTGTAAAAATAACAAAATAAAATGCCAGTGTCTATGTTACCGAATTTTATCGTATTTGGTTGTATTTTTGAAAGCGGCAATAAAACGTTATATAGAGTTAAAATTCATTATTTATTGTGTGTAACCTATAGACATTATTGTAATAAAAAAAATGAGAGGAAAATAAAACAAGAAAGTAGATATAGCAACATTTTATTATAAAAAAAAACATCGGCCAATACATTAGATCACGTCAATAAGTATAAAATAATTACGTGCTAACAATAATTTAGTAATATTTTCATTGTTAAAACCAAAGAATCAAATATTACTCGTAACTGTTCTTTGAATTTCTTTCACCCAGAACTAAAATTTTCGTGGTGCTAGAATCTATATCCCACCCCTCAACATCCTCCCATTTTCACATGTGTGTTAGTGCGTGCGTGTGTGCGTGTGTGCGTGCGTGCGTGCATGCGGGCGAACGCGCGCGCGCGCACGTCTGTGTGTGTGTGTGTGTGTGTGTGTGTTCAGAGTTCTTCCTTAAATGTCGCTTTGGCTCACTGACCCTCCCTGCTACGCCACTGATGGTATATTTTTAATTTAGATTTATTTATAATAATAGTTTTTAGTTCAATAATTCGATTTTAATGTGCTCGAAATGAAAATATTACCAACATTGTAAATAAATAACATAACTTAATAGCGAATATCACATCAAATATTTTGGTGAGGTTCGGCCTCAATTTTGATCTAACGTTTCGTCAAAATTGGAAAACACTATTAGCAACGTTTATAATTAGTTGCTGGTTCAAGCTGCCGTCGAAATCTCCCAAAAACTTCGCAATGTGACGCATCAATATATTGCGAAGAAGTTTTTAAACAAATTATTATAAGACTAGCTATCCGCCCCGGCTTCGCACGGGTGGTTTCTGGATCTCTAATCAAACTACGGTTGCCAACCCGCATGCAAAGCGAGACCTATGTTCAGCAGTAGTACAGGCTGTAATAAATGAATGTAAAAATAAGAATTAAAATCAATTTAAATGAAATGTTAGATAAGTCGATTTAAATATAGTTCCTGATAACGTGATTATTATCTTTCAAATTTGACGAAACTTTATAAAATTGTATATAACTAACTTAGGAGCAAATTCATTTTTTTAAAGAATAAGGGTGAGAAACGAGGACGCAGTCCACCTGATGGTCATTTCTGCCCATAATATAATAAAGACTTAAGATGGAATGCTTCGTTTCCAGTAAAAAGAGTATTTTTGTTTAATTAAAACTAGCACACAAAGCTTTAAAAAATGAATTATTAAAAACGATTCTGTGTAATTCTTTATTATTATTAATGTACTGTACAAAGACCTGGCCCAGATTCCATACATTTTGAATTGTAAAGCTCCATTTATTTTTTAATAGAAAAACAACTTAAAGAAAGCTAAAATGACGCTTTATAAGCTGCTTCTCAAAACACATCGAAAGGCACAATAACGTGTGTAAAATGTGTCGGGCTGTGTCGGCTGTCGGTTTTTCGAAGCACATCAAACAAAGCGCGCAAACGCCGTTGTCTCTCTTCTATATTTTTGCGTCGTCACTAGTCTATTCCGAATTACGCACGCGATTGCGAGTCGTATAGTTAGCGGCACGAAATTCTAGCGGTGACCGTTATTGCGCATTAGTCGCGCAGATTGGCTAGTGCGTATCGTTTGTACGCGCTGATTGGCTCTCCAGTGGCCTTCGTGCAATTTAATTCGTACGCGTCCTCTCCACGTTTCGTTCAGCGCTAGATTTACGTGCCACAACTTGTACGCGCATTAATATTTAACTGTGACGTACGTATTTACAAGCTAATAAATACGTGTATTAAATACTTATATTTTTTTAAATGTTTGTCATCCATCGTTTACTCTCGTAAGGGCCAGGTTAGAATGTCACACGCACATGTCTAGTCTTTACTTCCAAAGACTGTATGAACCTCCGAAGGAGGTGGAGTTAATGAGAGGGGAGTGTAATGAGAACTTTTTGCCCCTATTAAACCATGACCCCCATGAAACCCTCTACATGATAGACTATTCAAACTGACAAAGCCTAAAGTTCAAGCCACTCCCCAATTTTTTGGTTTTTGGCCATTTTGCCCCCTCGGAGTGTAATGAGAACTTTTTGCCCCTATTCAACCATGACCCCCATGAAATCCTCTACACGATAGGCTATTCAAACTGACTATGCCTAAAGTTCGAGCCACTCCCCATTTTTTTGGTTTTTGGCCATTTTGACCCTTTTTTATTTGGAGTGTAATGAGAACTTTTTGTCCCTATTCAAGCATGACCCCCATGTCATCCTCTACATTTTTTCGTTTTTCTTTTTTATTTTAGGCTTTTCAAACTGATTAGGCATAAAATTCGAATCACCCCCCAACTCATTTCTAGTCTTTACTTCCAACTTTGTACTACTACTATATTTTCATTCGCTCTCAATCATTTTTTTTTTCAAAAATAACAACATACACATGTAATTTACATTTTAATTATATATAATATTCAAATTTTTATTTTTATGTGGTAGAGCCAAGCTGCAAGACCCTTATTACTGGGAACGAGGCATTCCATCTGTTCTCAGGGGGTGATAATGTGGTTATAAATCTATTTCTTTGTGCAACTTTTACGCATTTTAAGAAAAAAGTAACATGTGCTTTGAGTATGTTTCATATCTGTGGACTTACATTAAGTATTAAATATGAATCGAATAGAATAGAAATATCTTGCACAAAATATAAAAAAGCACAGGGTAATTCAAGAATATTTCATAGGCATTTATACAAGCAAAAACAAGGCACAGTCAATTTTTATAATGGTATATGTTTTTTTATAATGCTAAGGGCTTAGCTATAAAAAAATTTATCACAAAATGATGACTATCCGAATTTAACTCTCACCACAGAACAGAATAACTAACCCTCAGATAAAAGTTCTCCATCGAATAAACCTTTCTTAATATAAAAGGGACTATTTATATTGTATTTTATCCTATGAATAAATTTTATCTAATGATTGAATTGGCGCTAAATTATTTATTATATTTTAGAGCATTATTTACAGTATTCTCCTAATAGAGATATTTTAAAATTTGACACCTATTCCTTGTCCGAGGTAAGAGTTGAATCTATTGTATCATATATGAAAATAAGTGAAAAAAATCAACTTATAAAGGTAATAGATGTAAACTTTACTCACTTAATCCCTTCAATTGGGCATAAATACCCTCAACTATTTGAGAAAACTTAATAGTTTGTATGAACAAGAAAGAATAAAACAAATGAATAGAAATGAGAAAGAATAGAAAAAGAATTATGGTTACCCTAAATTACGCGCAGGCCAAGTCACAGGGACCAGCTAGTGTATAAATAAAATATCATTGTATGTAGCCAGAACAAATCTCTATTACATAAGAAGAGTAAGTTTTCAAAAAGAGTAGAAAACAAAAAGTTTACATGCATCGTGATTAAAACTAATCAAATTAGATTAGAGTTTGATCGTGGAGGAAACATTTCAGTAGGCCGATTAGTGTTTGAGTATTGCAAGCCTTAAAGAGTAATTGTTTAGTTACGAAAGCTGAAACAATGTTTACTAAGTATTTGGTAAAACGAATTCTTGTCCTTTATAAATTTAACATTACCTTAGGTGTCCTGAATAGAAATTAGTGATTTATGCACAGTCTTCGATCTTCAATGCCTTTGTTGTCTGGGCATCCTTATAAGGCAACATAGCTACTGACGCTGTTCCTTTAAAATTGTGGGTGAAAGTGAGGACGGCTATCTTCTTGGGCATTGCTACAATCACCATATGACCATCTTCAGACTCTGACACATCTATTTGGACAATTGGGCACATCGAAAGTACTGGGCAATCACTGCGTTCAGTGAAATTGTACTGTTTTATAGGCTCAGAGTTGTATAAATCGAATTCCTCATTAGTGAAAGGAGAATAGTAGATCCGCAAGACTCCCCAGTTAGAACCTACAAACACAACTTCTCCATACACTCGGACAGTGATAATATCACGTAAAGGTCCCTCAGGAATGTACCGATTGAGAACATACATCCATTGATTATATATCTTCCAGTCTACCGTATCTAGAAAACTGTATTTATATAGCAGATTGAGTAAATTTCTATCTGGTCCCAATAAGCAGGTGAATACTAGTTTTTTTCCATTATATGTATAAATGTGTCTTTGCAAGGTAAGCACATGGAGTCTGCTTTGACAGTATCCAAGTGACATGATACTTTCATCACTGTGCTCCAGCAATTCAGTAGAGAGATTTTCCAGTCTGCATACATAAATATCATCATTGAGTGTTACATAGTATATCTCTTGGTCCTCAAGTATGAATGTTTTAATGTTGTCAAATGTTACATTAGTCTCCAATCGAGGGTTTTGTATGATTTTACGTATTATATAAAGTTGGAGATGGTAGCTTTGTATCACAATCGTGTCATCATTCTCTTTGTATTTCATGTAGTCCCCAGTGATTGTCTCTCGCCTTGCTCTTTGTAATGTTTCAATATCGTAGTAAACTATACCTCCGCGTTTATGAACACCAATCACACCATCCCGGAGTATCTCGAAGTTCGATATCTTCTCATTCACACTAGACGCCGATGCAAATTCATCCCAATCTTCTCTAGCATCTGCTATCTTAGGCCACAGCGTAAGAGATTTAAAAATATTATACCACAACAAATCTGGTTTGGATTTGTATTGAGCTATTTTGTAAACAGTTGGATAGTTTTTTTTGCAGTATTCTCGCCACAGTGCGTCACGTCTTGTCAGTTCATCGACTATTTGCTTAAAGCGTAAGCATACTTGCCTGCACCTAATCAATTCTTTCGCAGGTAAATAAGTAAATATATAAAGCACGATCTCAGTAGGTAATACGCTAAGGCAGTAATGGCTGTCTTCTTTCATTTTAATAATTTCTGCTTTTGTAATTTAATCATTGGGTCGAAATGATGATTAATTTAGGCACATGTTAAGATAATTAGTTTGTTTTAATTTAAAACTGTTCTTATTTTGTAAAGCTTATAATTTTGTTGTTGTTTTTATTATTCGCTCGAGAGAGCAGGCAAAGGAACTATGCCATACAGCCTTGTTTTTATGTATAATTATCCTTCATAGTTCACTGCTTCACAACATGTTAATGCGTCACATTGTGCAGCCCTTGGGAGATTTTGACGGCAACTTGAGCCAGCAGGCAGCTGACAGTTGGCGATGGTATCTAAAGGCGCCTATGCAAACAAACAGCTTATCTTGAGAATCCATCACCATCAGAGCACTTGTTTCACCGTTTCCACTAATAGTTCACATGTGTAGACAGTTAATACATAAAATCGCACCACTTTTACATATCAAAATCGACTTCAAACTATTATTTAAACTATAATACAGCAGCAGCAAACCGCCGCCAATCAAGTTCCCGCCAAAAACCTAATATTTTGGTTTTGAAATTTTTGAATGGTTTTGACATTTGAAGATGTTTTTTTTATTAAAATTTTTGACTTGGATGCTACATTTGAAGATGTCTTGTTTCGAAGCACAGATTAATTAGTAGTGAGTAGTGACTATACTGAATCCAAAGATAAAATATCTTTGACTCAACCAAATCTAAGAAATGCCTTTTGACAGCTGTCAGACTTATTGTATAGTGCGCGCAAGATAACTCTGCGCGCGATTGATTTTTTTTTTGGAGTATATGGCCTGGCATCTAGACCTTTAGGCCAAGTCTTGAGTATTTTTATTCGGTTTATTATAATTTCCCTACTGTATTTTTGATGAATTTATATAGAGGCACGTAATAGGATCTATTTTTTAACATATCACCAGTGTTGCCGATATGTGGGGAATTCCCCAAGCTGCGGGGAATCTCAAGTTGATTGGGGATTTATTGGGGACTGGCATTATGCGGGGAAAATGCGGGGATTTTAACATCTTAATACTACTTAACTACTTTTACGAGAACTCCAAACATTTTAATATTTTTTTTTTAGTTTAGTTACTTATGGATAAGGGACGACTCAATACTTGCTCCAAATTTAAATTTCGGCATCTTTATTCTTTCGCCAATCGTAAAATTGTTTTGTGTATCTTATAATTTTTTAGGGTGTTTTTAGGGAATTTTTAGAAAATTTGGTGAAACTTAGGTTTTACTTTTAAATCCTAGGATTTACCAACATGAGTTGGTAAATGTAAGGATTGATATAAAATGCGACGATCTTTCGCGCTTTTACCGTTAGAGTTTGGTACATCCTAGGTTTAACCAAAGACTATTAGTAAGTGTTGTTTTTGGAAATGAAACAATATATTTATATAAGTAGAAAGTATTTATTAAACATTGAATCATATTACCTACATAATTTTAAAACATTTTTATGGTGATTTTTGAAAGTAGAATATAGAAAAATAAAGCTTTCCATTGACGTCCGTCGAGATATTTTTTTACATAAAGGTTACATTATTATAAGTACACACGCAAAGTTTCAACATGCGGAAACGTATATTTTTTGAGAAAAAAATTATTGAAAATCAATTATTTTTGCAATATTTACGCACGTAAGGGGAGCAGCCTCCGCCTGCCGAAGCTGCGCAGGTGAGGAGGAATGCCTGCGATTTGTTACGCAAAGGCGTAGAGGCTGCTCTTCATGCAGCGCCGGAGACGTTGCAGTCTCAAAATAAAAACAGAAGGTGACACAGGTAGTGGAGAGGGCTGCACACTGTTTGCAAGAACGTTAATGCGCCGAACACGTCTAGATATGACTATTTTTCAACATTTACCGTGTTTTAGAGGTAAAAACTAATGCTACCTCTACACTACTCGCGAAGTAACTTCGACGAAGTGCTCGTCGAAGTCGATCGCAGTCCGAAGAACGTGATCACACACTCGTGCTACTTCGTGAAGAGCTCAGTCGTCTTGAGTCTCCCGCACCGTTAACATGAATGATGTTCAAGAGGCAGCTGCTTTATGTACCTAATTGTGTGAACAGTACGACGTCAATGCGTTAACTAAATAAATAATTATGTGGAAAGCTATATATTTAATATTTATATATATATATAAAATATTCATAACTGGCGTAAGCCGAGTAGTGTACTGAGACGCTTCGTGTAACTTCGAGGTACTTCTCGAAGCCCTTTGACTCTGGCGCAAAAAACCGACAGCGATCGGAAGTCGCCCGAGGCGAAGCGAGATTGGACGAAGTGAATCGCAGTACCTCTCTACACTATTCGCCTCGTCCAACTTCGATCTACTTCGCGAGTAGTGTAGAGGAGGCATAAGATTTACTGAGTGAATGCTTGTAAAAGTCCGAAATAAACGATTACCATAGAACACTTCGGACTTTATAAGTTATGGACATGGTAAATCTTAAGTTTTACTGCAAAATCTTAGAATTTACCGTAGTTCTAGCTTTTACAGTAACATATACATTTCTTTCTACAGATTTCGTGTTTATTCCAAATTCATTAAAAAAATACTTTGGCGACACCTAGTAGTAATATTAATACAGAATATTCATGGACTTATATAGTTTGTGGTTCAGTTATTTTTATCAGTATCAATATATTCCATTAAAAGCCTACTTGACAGAAATAGTCTTCTCAGATCTGTCGAAGACTACCGAAGAAATGCTGATTACAATGAACAACCAATTTACTTTGGTGTATTTGGAATTCATGTCTTACGTACTTGCACTGGTAACAAAATTCAATGTTTTATTTCAATCAATCTTCTTCACAAATTGAAACCAGAAGTCGAAAACCTTTTGAAAACATTGTCTTCTAATTTCATGAAAATTAGCAATGTCGTGTGCTGATATTTTAAACTTCAAAAATCCAACACATTTTTTTAAGTTTAAACGAAATATATATTGGATCAAAGGCTGGAGGAAGTATGGAAAATTTAAAAAATGACGAAAATGTACCTCGTGCTGCTATTGCAGATTTCTATAGAACCTGCCAGGAGTTTTACATTGAATTGACATCTTACATTACCAAGCGATTTGATTTCGGGGATCCTTTATTTTTTATTATATCCGCTGTAAATCCATCAGAAGCTCAACAGTTTTTGTGTTTTATAAATTTGTGACCGCACAAAAGTTAGATGACGAGTGGCGAACTCACGCTATGTTAGATTTTGATCACCATGGCCTTGAAATTCATGGAGATAACATTGATGCCGAAAGTTACTGTGGTAGTGTTTCACCTTAAAAATGCTGCGGGAGAATACATGTTTACAAACATAAAAATTCTTATGTCTTTGTTGCTCATACTGCCATTTTCAAACGCATCGGTCGAAAGAAAATTTAGTGGGCTTCGATATTTAAAAACAGAAAACCGCAATAGGCTAAATACAGATACTGTAGTATCTTTAATGGCAACAAGAGTGGGGATAAAAAATGGGCGGCAGTATCAAGTTTAATAATCCTTCGAGCAAAATGCTTGCATAAAACGCATGGAAAAAGTGCAACAAAGGTTAAAAAATAAATATTATTTAAATAATATAAAATAATATTGCGGGGAATTTGTGGGGAATCAGCAGATTTTTGTCCCCAAATTGGGGGAATTTTATATGATTTTTTGGGGAATTACATACATTGGCATTGGCAACTCTGCATATCACTCAGGCGGCGGGAGGGATCTTGCACTGTCACTTGATTTTGCACTATGTCACTAATTTCACTGACAAGAATCAATCTGTCAAATGAAAAGCACTCACATGTAAATATGAAATGTTCGATATCACCAACAGAATTATTGCAGAAGGTGCAGTAACTGCTCTCCACTATGCCCAATCGAGCCAGGTGGGCCGGGACGGTGGAGTGACCAAAGCGCAGTCTATTTATAGTGGTAACAAAGTCCCGACTGGCCATTTTCAGTTTGTTATACCATGGTGCTACAGGTAGTTTTTCTTGAACAGTTCCATACCATTTACCCTTCTGTTCTTGATCTTGTTTCCAAAATTCGACCCATAAGCTATTGACCTGGTTGTCAATAGATTGATAACAGTCGGTCAAAGGTACTTTTACTATGGAGCTAACATCCAACATGTTGGTTCCATCACGTGCAATTTTATCTACTATCTCATTTCCTGTTATGCCCCTATGTGATGGAATCCACATGAAAGAGACCTGTATACCCTTTTTTGCATAACTAAATTACAATTTTTTAATATTATACAAAATATAGTTTTTTTTTAAGTCAAATCTGAGATTAGTTAAACTTTGGACCATACTTAAACTGTCTGTTAAAATTAAAAAATTATTAAAACTATTTATATGTGCAATCCTCTTCAGGGCCTCGAGGGCCGCATATACCTCTGCAGTGAAAACACTGCATTTAGGGTCCAGAAGAAAACTTTGACCAAACTTGCATTGTGGATCATAAACGGCACTGCGCACAAAGAGCTCACTTTTGCTACCATCTGTATACAAAGTATAGTAGTTATTGTCGGAAATAAAACTTAATAATTCACAATTATTAAAAAAATTTTTTGTAACAATATTGGTCTCAAATATAATACAGGAATATGGGTATGTGTAGCATGTCCACTTTGATTGTTTAATTACATTTTTAAAATCTTCATTCATTTGCTGTACAATGAGAGGCAAAACTGGAAAATAACCTTGTAAAAGCTCACCTCCCGCAGTCTGCTGGACCGAGCATTGTAAAGGAAAAGGTACTATTTTTTTGAGAACATTATCATTACCAGATACCAGCTTTAGTAAATATCTCTCTATTAGCAGAAGTCTTCTAAGACACAGTGGCATTATTTTGGTTTCAACTTCCATAGCTCGTATGGGAGTTGAACACATAGCCCCAGAAATAATTCGCAGAGCTTTGTTTTGAATTATGTCTAGTTTTTTTACACAACTACTATTTGAGTAGGCTAAACAACTGTAGTCGAAATGGCTTCT